ATGAACCAAGCCCCGGACCCCAGACCGAGAGCCCTGCCTCCAGCCCCCGGCTGTCACGGCTCCCAGACTCTTGGGCCCACCCTCTGAGAGTGACAGCCTCTGAGCCTCACCCTGGGCTCCTGAGGCCTTACGGCTCTAGCAGATCCAGGCGTCTCTCCTCTCCCCCCAGTTGGGTTCGAGTTCTGGAAACAGCTGTGCGCCGAGCATGGTATCAGCCCCGAGGGCATCGTGGAGGAGTTCGCCACCGAAGGCACTGACCGCAAGGACGTCTTTTTCTACCAGGTGCCCCCAGCGACTTGGCCAGGGCCGGTAGTGGCCCAGGGGGCCTGAAGGGAAGGGCAGTGGCTTGGTACTGGAACCCCGCTGGGCAGAGGAGCCAGGGCGGCTGGCTTGAAGAGGGAGGGCAGGCAGGAGCCAGAGTTGGGAGGACTGGAGGAGTGGGTGGGCCCGAGCTTATTGGGCCCGATCCTGGACTCCCCTTGACAGGCGGACGACGAGCACTACATCCCCAGGGCGGTGCTGCTGGACCTGGAGCCGCGGGTGATCCATTCCATCCTCAATTCCCCCTATGCCAAGCTCTACAACCCAGAGAACATCTACCTGTCAGAGCATGGAGGAGGAGCTGGCAACAACTGGGCCAGCGGATTCTCCCAGGTATCCAGGTGGCCATCCCAGAGATTCTTGATGTTCCCTTCCTGGGGCAAAGCAGGCACAAGCAGTCTGGGAATTTGACCACACTGACAATAAATAAGAGACAAGGGGATTACCCTGATAAGAGGGACAGCCAGAGAGAGGTTGATGCAAACTTTGTGCAAACCATTTGCAAAGTAGCATTTCTGGGGGGAGGGACATAGCCCTCTGTTTGAGGTGGCAGCAGTGTCCGACAGTAGAATTATTGGTGCTGAAAAGAGATGCTCTCCAGAAACTTCATCCTCGTCCTCCCTCCTCATGTCTCTATACAGGGTGAGAAAATCCATGAAGACATCTTTGACATCATAGACCGAGAAGCAGATGGAAGTGACAGCCTAGAGGTGAGGCTGCCCCCCTGGGGGGTGGGGGTGGGGAGGAAGCTGAAAAGTGCTGGGGAAAGGTCAGGAGGTAGCCTGATCAGATGTGTGATGGGGGCAATTCAATTCAAAATTCTTCCATTGAGTATCAGATGTGAGATAGTGAGGTAAATAAGGTACAGTCCTTGTCCTCAAGGAGATCCCAATCTGGATGGCATCAGCTCCTTCCTTCTCAAGGAGCCTCAGTCTGGATGGACATAGAGGAAGCCTTGACACATTAGCGTGTTGGGAATGGGGAATGACACAAGCCTGAAGCCTCTCTGCCAGATCCCTGGAGACTGCCTCTCCATCCCTCCCTTGCAGGGCTTCGTGCTGTGTCATTCCATCGCTGGGGGCACCGGTTCTGGCCTGGGTTCCTACCTCTTAGAGCGACTGAATGACAGGTAAGCCTGTGTTTGGGGAGAGGGCATTAGCCCTGTTTCCCTGGGTAATGTCTTTCCTTTTTATCGCTTTTTTCTTTCCGACTGGAAGGCCTGCCACTACCACCTTTGAGTCATAGGTAGGAACAGAGCCTGGCCACCCAGGGAACATCTTGGAAGCAGTAACTCCCAGGTGGGGGGTTTGCCTAGGGGGAGAAGGGGACCTACGAGGTTTGATGCTTTAGGCTTATCTTTTTTGGCTTCTGGGCTCTGAAGACTCAGTTCTGCCCTCACCCCTTTTGTATAAGACGTTGGTGGCACTTGGAAAGGAATGGCCCCTGTTATCCCTAGAGAAGATAGAGATGGGCAGTGATGAGAGTCCTTCCAATTCACTATGTCACCTTCCTCTTTCCCTCCTCCTTACCCCCAGGTACCCCAAGAAGCTGGTGCAGACATACTCAGTGTTTCCCAACCAGGATGAGATGAGTGATGTGGTGGTCCAGCCCTACAACTCACTGCTCACGCTCAAAAGGCTGACCCAGAACGCAGACTGTGTGGTGAGCATGCGAGGAGGGAGTGGGGGCTTTGGTCGACCTCCCCAAACCAGAGAGACATCTACACCCTGCCCTTCCCAAGCCCTTGCCCAGAGAACAGAGGACCAACAAAGCCATACCTGGTGGACCAAATTATGAAATAAGGACCTGATCCCAAGTTTCTTATAGTCCCTTTAGGCAGCAAGACTCTCAGCAAAGTGAATAACACGCCCCCACCCCACGTGTCTCCACTTAGCCTGTTTTTCTTTTTTTAATTAATTAACTAATTTATTTTATTTTTGGCTGCGTTGAGTCTTCATTGCTGCGCATGGGCTTTCTCAAGTTGCAGCGAGCGGGTCTACTCTTTGTTGTGGTGTGCGGGCTTCTCATTGCGGTGGCTTCTCTTGTTGCAGAGCACAGGCTCTAGGCGCGCGAGCTTTAGTAGTTGTGGCACGCAGGCTCTGTAGCTGTGGCTCACGGGCTTAGTCGTTCCACGGCATGTGGGATCTTCCCGGACCAGGGCTCGAACCTTTGTCTCCTGCATTGGCAGGCGGATTCTTGACCACTGCGCAACCAGGGAAGCCGCTCCACTTAGCCTGTTTAATGCCTACTCATGCTTACATTCTCAGCCCAAGGGTCACTTTCTTAGCAAAACCTTCCCTGACCACCCAGACAAGGTCAAACTCCTTTGTGCATATTTCAGGCTATAACTATACTTTTCTGTTGTTTTATATTTAATGTCGGTCTCCCTCCTCTAGACTGTAGATGTGGTGAGGGGGAAGACCATGCCTGTTTTACTCTCCATAGTTTCTCTAGGCACCATGCCTGGCACATGTTGGACAAGTAAATATTTGTTTAATGCACTGGGTGGTAGAAACGTGTCTCCTGATGCCCCAGAGACAGTACTTGCCCTTTAAATTAGCACACCTACTTCCTAGTTTTGGACTTCTTCCTAGTTTTGGAGTTTAGAGGGGCACTAAGCAAATAACTTATTTCTCTGCCCCCTTTCTCCTCAAAAAGGTGCCGTGACCCTCTTCTGTCCCCCCAGGTGGTGCTGGACAACACAGCCCTGAACCGGATCGCCACAGACCGCCTGCATATCCAGAACCCATCCTTCTCTCAGATCAACCAGCTGGTGAGCCCTCACTCCTAGACTCTTTTGGACTGGAACCCCGCCATCGGGGGAAGGGAGGCCTCCCAGGACAAGGCCCTTGACACAGCACCCCTGTCCCCAGGTGTCCACCATCATGTCGGCCAGCACCACCACCCTGCGCTACCCCGGCTACATGAACAACGACCTCATCGGCCTCATCGCCTCGCTCATTCCCACACCACGGCTCCACTTCCTCATGACCGGCTACACACCCCTCACCACGGACCAGTCGGTAAGAGCAGCCCGCAGGCCCAGCAGGCCCTGACTTGCCTTTCTCTTTTCCCTGCTGCACCCGGAGCCGCCCCGTGCAGCCCCCAGAGGCCCTGCGCTCAGGGACTGGCACAGGCTGGGCGACCTCCTGGCTGACTTGCTCTCCTCTGCCTGTGGCTCCCTGCAGGGCCCGGGCTGTACGGGGTCTGCTGATGCTCCTGCACAAGGGCATGAGTTTGCTGAGCTCGGGAGGACTGAGATCCCTGATCCCACAGCAGAGGCTCAGTGTGGACCTGAATCTAAGGACACTCCCCACAGAGGCCAAACTACCCCGAGTCTGATGGGGACGTGTGTTGCCTACTGCTCTCTGTCCATGTGTTTCTCGACTGTGCCCTGAGTGCTGGCCTGCCCTGTGGCCACTGTCCCCTCAGGTGGCCAGCGTGAGGAAGACCACGGTCCTGGATGTCATGAGGAGGCTCCTGCAGCCCAAGAACGTGATGGTGTCCACGGGCCGGGATCGCCAGACCAACCACTGCTACATCGCCATCCTCAACATCATCCAGGGGGAGGTGGACCCCACCCAGGTAGGTGAGGCCCCTTCGTTCTACCCCCAGAGCCCACAGGGTAGAGGAGAGGCTACCACCACCACTCCTGTGCCCACCCCAGGTCCACAAGAGCCTGCAGAGGATCCGGGAACGGAAGTTGGCCAACTTCATCCCCTGGGGCCCAGCCAGCATCCAGGTGGCCCTGTCCAGGAAGTCGCCCTACCTGCCTTCTGCCCACAGGGTCAGCGGGCTCATGATGGCCAACCACACCAGCATCTCCTCGGTGAGCCTAGCCTCCTGGTCTTCTTTGGCCACTCTCTTCTACTAGCCACCTTCCTCATTCTCCCCCAGATCCATTCCAACCCCTTATCTTGCACTGGCTCCTGGAGATTTCCATCTCTTGCAGCTCTTTGAAAGTTCCTGCCAGCAGTATGACAAGCTGCGGAAGCGGGAGGCCTTCCTGGAGCAGTTCCGCAAGGAGGACATCTTCAAGGAGAACTTTGACGAGCTGGACAGGTCCAGGGAAGTCGTGCAGGAGCTCATTGATGAGTACCATGCAGCCACGCGGCCAGACTACATCTCCTGGGGCACCCAGGAGCAGTGAATTCCTCCCCACTGCACCCGCTGGACAGTAAGCACAGCCCCCATCATGCCTGGTCCCTCTGGTCCAAATTCCCCTCACCAACAACCTTTCTAGGTTCTTCTTCGGCCCAGGAGTTGGCCCTGCTCCCTCCCTTCCATGCCTGACCCTTGATATGCTTATTTAGTTCTAATAAAGTAATAAAGCTGCATTGTGAGTATAGTCGGGCCTTGGTCTGTGAATATGGGGGACGATAAAAGTATCTCCATGGTGCCCCACAGTTCCCAGGCATATGTCGGTAGGGTGGCCTCTGCCTGCTCTAGCTGAGTCCCGGTCTTTGTGTGTCCACTGTTTCCATGAGCATCCCTTACCTAGAACCAAGCTGCTCTGGAGCCAGTCCTACTCTCAAGACTATAGAGGATTACTGCTGCCTGCCGCCTCCTCAGCGCCTAAGCTCCTGCCCCAGGGTGGATCAATATTGCCCATAGAGCCCCAGCCTCCTCCACTCAGGGCAGAGGTTGTAGAGGCTACTGAAGGACAGCCTGCAGCATTCTGAGCGGGTCAGGAAAGCCAAGACTGTATTCCCAGGCACAAGGTGATTAGGTCCTCAGGAGTCGATCTAATTCAGCCCAATCTGATAAAAGTAGGGCTGAGCCCATCCTGATAAATTCTTTATCTGTGCCAGAGAAGTTCTTGGGTCTGATCCTGCCCCAAGCTTCTTCTGTTCCAGTCCCAAAGCAGTGGGAACATTAAAGATGGACCCAACCAAGACCCAGAAGCTGGACACCAGGGTAGGACTGGGTAGTGCCAGTCCTGATGACTCACTGTCCTCGGGCCTCAGGGATGCCAAGAGGCCACCCCTATGCCACTCGGTGGAAGAAGGGTGATTGCCAGCTTCCAAAACTGTCCTCTTGCCTGCCCCCCCACCACCACCCTAGGGCAGCATACGGGCCAGGAGGAGGTTAAGTCCAGAAGGTCACGGAGGGTGGAGCCCTGCGGTGTTCAGACTCCCCTCAGTGCTGGTAAAAGCCCAGAGTGTGGGCATCCCCGGAGGTGGAGCTCTGAGCCCTGGGGCTCCAACTTGTCCCACTGACAACACTCCCACAGCAGCAAGGGTTTGTGTAAATAAGGAATTTTTGTGTGTGTGTCTTCTCTTCTACAAATAAATTAAGAAACAAACTAGAAAATTGTCTGCACCCATTGCAGCCCTTGGGTGTGGGGTGTGCCCTGTCCCTGCAGGGCCAAAAGGGTCCATGGTTCCCTGAAATCGCAGAGCAGTCCAAGTCCAGGATGGAGGCAAGAGGGAGGTCGTGACCTCTTGGCAAGCTCAGTCCTGCAGCTGCCCCAAACAGCCAGACTGTCCCTGGGGCTCGTCCAGGCCCGGGTGCTGGCTGGGAGGGGAGGTGTCTGGCAGGTCTTGGCATGGAGGAGGACTACTGCTGGGCCTCTCAGGGGAGGGGTTGGCCAAGTAGGCATTCACCAGCTGCATGATCTCTTCCACCTAAGGGAGGACAGAGGTCAGAGTACACAAGGGGCCACTGGGTTCTCCTTTTTCTTAACCTCCACCCAGGCTCCTTCCCAAGGCCTTACATGAGCTGCCCCCTACAATCTTTCCTTCCTCATCATCGCTCTCCCTCACTCACAATGTGCCGACCACACTTGCTTCTTTCTGCTCCTATAATATCCTAAGGTTATTCTCAACTCAGGGCCTTTGCACTTGCAAGTCCCTCTACCTGGAATGCTGTGCCCCCAGGTCTTCCTTTGGCTAGCTTAAGTGTCACTGTTGTTGCGTACCTTTTCCTGACCGTCCTACCTAATGCGATGGCCCCCTCCAATCACTTCCTGTCTCACTACCCTTTCCTGCGTAGCATTTGTCACTGTCTTAAATAGTCTTTGAGGGGACTTCCCTGGGGTCCAGTGGTTGGGACTCCACACTTCCACTGCAGGGGGCATGGGTTCCATCCCTGGTCAGGGAACTAAGATCCCACGTGCCGCCTGGTGTGGCCAAAAAAATTAGAAAAAAAAAAAAAGAAAAAAGGTCTTTGATTCCTTTAGTGTCTGATCGCTGGCTCTGATGTAAGCTCCTTTAGTTTGTCTTTGATCACTGTTGGATCCCCGGGGTCTAGAGCTGTACCTGGCCCATGCTCAATGCTTAATAAATGTTTCTTGACATCCTTTCCCTTCCTTCCTCCTTCTACACCCTCTTCCCACTCACCTGGGGACTCTGCAGGAGGAGCTGGCTCTCTCCCACCCTCAATGCCAGGGTGTGGGGGCCCATTAGTTGGCAGGCGGCCACACGGCCATAGCTGACACTGTGAACGGGCTGTGTCTCACCCGGTCGGGAGAGGGACATGGCCTTGGCTCCCAGGCCCAGGCATAGCTTCTGTGGAGCGCCCCCACCAGGCTCCTGCGGACAGACGGGCAGAGTCAGGGTGGAAGGAGGGGACCCTGCAGCATTATTTTTGGTGTGGGGAGATGGCTGTGAGCAAGAAGTTTCCTGGTTCCCCCCTATAATCCACAGCTCCACAGAGGTGAGGGCCCCAGGGCCAGTGACTCCTGGGGTTTGAGAATGGGCAGCTGTGCTGGGTGTAGGGAGTGAAGTGACCCACAGTGGGGGCCTGTGGCTCTGGGGCAAAGGTGTGGGGCTCGGGCCGCCAGAGTCCCCCTCTCCCTTCTCCCCCTCACCGTGCTCAGCTCCAGAACGTCATACCGAGCAGCGCCGAACCCTGGACACTGCGCCGCCAGAGCCAGGTAGGCAGCCATGGCCTCAGCTCGGCCCATGCCCCGTAGCCGCTTCCAGCCTCCCAGCACAGCAGCCGCTGTGCCGGCGCCACCTCCTCCCTCGCGGGCCACGCTTCCCGCCGTGCGGCCGGCCCCGCCGCGCCGGGCCCGCTCCGCCCGCCTCTTGGCCAGGGCCGGACTCCAGATTGCCCCGGCCAGCAGGGCGGCGGAGCGGGGAGGCCTGGGCACCGGGCGGAGAGGGTCTTCACGCGGCGGGGCCGGGGTGGGCAGCAAGCGGTCCAGGCGCGGCAGAGGCGCCCGCGAGGAGAAGTCTCGGTGCAGGCTCCGCAGGCGCAGCGCCGCCTGGGCGCGCAGCGTGTCGTCGGGCGGGGCCGGCCGGCCGCGCAGCAGCAGAGCTTGAGCCTACGGGGAGGCAGGGGTCATCAGCGCGGGAGCGGCGGGGTACCGTCTCGAAGACACCTAGGGGTGTGGCACCTGAGGTCTGGGTTCGAGCACCGCCTCCCCCGGGGTTGCCATAACGACGAAATGCGATGGCCCAGAAACGGAGGGGTTCAGGCTCGCGGGTCTTCGCTGGGCGTGAATGCCAGAGATCCTCACCTGCTCAAAGAGGAAGGGCAGTTCGTGACCGTCTGGGGACAGTCCCTCAGGGTGCAGAGGTCCGTGAAGACGCAGACACAGTCTCCATCCGGAGTCCGGCGGGTCCTCCAGCCCGGCTTCCTCCGCCGCCAAGCTGCAGAATAAAGAAGGCCGCGATGTGTCCGGGAAGCAGGGGCCCCCAAAGCGCGGGCCCAGGGGAAAAAGGCGGGGCCAGATGTTTGGGGCGGGGCCCGGGCGGAATGGACAGAGGAGGCAAGCCTTGAAGCCAGACTGCAAACCGCCAGCGGACAAGAATCCATCTGTTCATGAACCAGTGAAATGACTGTGCCGGGCAAGCGGCAGGCGCTCGGTAAACGTTTGCTTAGGGATTGACCGAAGCCGAGAGGCGAATGGGCTAACGGAGAGCAGGGCTGGGGCTGGACATTTACTTCTCAAACCTGGTGAGCACGTCGGCCACGAGAGTCCCCCCGGCCAGGGCTCGCTCCTGGGCCCCTCGCTGCTCGTACAGCGCGAATGCATTGCGGCTCCGGGTCAAGCCCAGCCGCCCCACCAGCTCTCGAGCAACCTGGAGGGGTGAGAACATAAGAGGAAAGTCAGACCCAGACCGCGCAGGGGTCTTGCCAGTACTTCTGGAGGGGTCCAACTGGAGGGGTCTTTCAGGTCTCTTAGTCCCGCCACACACAGCCGTTACCCAACTGATGACTCTCAGACTCGGGCAAACCCTAGGGCCCAGGCACCAGGAGAGCCAGGCATGGGAAGCTGGGAGGAAGGTTGAGGTTTCAGGGGTTTTCTCTGTGGTCTTACCTCTCCCGCCGTGGTGTGGGAGTCTATGGCCACGGGGCAGGCACCAGCCCCCGGACAGTGCACGGTGCACAACAACTCCTGCCGTCGGCTCAGCGCGGAAATCTCTGCCAGCGAGGGCACCAGCTCCCGGCCGCGCGTCCGGCCCAGCGCTTTTCGTATGAAGCGCGCATATTCCGCCAGTTCCGAGTCCGGAAGCGCCTGCTCAGTCCTGGGTTAGGGAGAACTGGAGAGTCAGTGCTCCAAGGGCTTTCCTTCACCTCCACCCTATTGCCTTCTTACTTTATAGTTTATTTCGCCTCGCCGATTCCCTCCCCTCCAACTCTAAGTTCCTTGAAGGCAGCGCGGCCAGCTCTTCTGAATCTACCCTGATGCTCTGTATGGAGCAGAATTACTTTCTAAGGCCCCTGGCAGCTTTCTCCTTACTGCCTCCTCCCACTTCCCAAAGTTTCCATGATCCTCCTTCGGGTTGAAATCCAAACTCCAGCCGCATTCCTCTTTCCAACCTAAAAGCCCTGGCGCTGGACTGCATCAGCTCCGAGAAAAACAGCCTTTTAATAATTCCGCGGAGGCTTTTTGTAATTCCCCCGCCCGCAAGCGGTGTATGATCTTGTAATTCCCACTATGCGTGTTAGCAGAGCCCTGACCTTGGGGCAAGTCCCTTCCCTTGTCTGGGTCCAAGTTCTCCATCTGCCAAACTCTTTGGAAAGACCTGCCATTCTTTTCCAGCCCCTTAGCTCCCTTGCCTTGGCCTTACCCCCACGCCTCCCCTCTCACCTCTCCAGGTGCCCCAGGAGGTGCCCCCGTACAGGTCCACCAGGCCGGAAGGTACAGCTCATGCAAGTGAGGAGCTGCCAGTACCGCAGGGCCGCGGGGTCTTGGGTAGCTGGAGGCCCGGGGGGGCCTGCGGGGCCCGAGGTCTGCTTAGCCAGCTGCAGGAAGAGCTCATCTCGGAGCGCGGGCAGGTCCCGGCAGGTCTGGAGCACACCCTGCATCAGGGGCCCGGGGCGCCGCGCCCCCTCCAGGGCCTGCAGCGCCAGGAACAGCCGCACCGCCTCCTCGCGCAAGGGAGCGTAGCCCGGACCTGCGGGGACGGCGGGGGCGGAGGGACGGCTTGGAGAGGGGACACAGAGCTGGGCCCTGGGAGGAAGCCGTGAACCAGGGGAAGGTCAGAGGGAGTGTAAGGGGACAGGGGTGGCAAGGAGGGGAGAGTGCGAAGGACAGGAAGAGTGAAGGGAAAGCAATCGTCCCCACAGAGCCAAATTCAACCCCTGCCTCCCGGGAATCTCCCCCTCCAGATCCCCTAAGGCTGCACTTTGAGTTGGATGGATGGACTATAAGGACACAGGGTCAACCTTCAGATTCTGCAATTGGGTACTGACAGCTATCACCATGGGCCAGAAAACAGGTTGGACCGCGAGTCAGAAAACCAGGGTTCTTCTCCCAGCTCCCCTTAATCCTCTAGCTTGAGGACCTGGGCCTGTCACTATTCCCTTTTGGGGAGAAGTATAACTAGATGAGGTCAGCACATTCTCCCAAGGTGGTGGCTTTTCCACCACTTGTAAAGGCAGTATGCCATGGTGTTGAGAGTATAATGAAATAACAAAATAGAGGGTGTAAGAAACTCATGAAGGAACATCAGTAGTCAGAATGAGATCCAGAGAAGGTGGTCAAAGGGAGCCTTTACTTTCTGTGCTGGCTTTCCTCCCCCTCTACCTTGGGTACCAGTCTGCTCAGCTTCTGGTTTCATCTTCATCCTTTGAAAACTGAGGGGCTGGGTTGGCCCCCTGAGGACTCCTAGATCCCTATCAGGTGAGGCATTCAGATTCCCCACCCAAGGGACTTGGGCCATGGCACCACTCACCTGGGGCACTGACTCCGTAGGGCAGGGGCAGGAGTGGGGCATACAGGGCCCCACTAGTGTGCCTCAGAATTGGGTTCCGTCTGTAAATAAGGGCCACAGCTTCCGGGTCCCCATAACTCTCCTAGAGGCCATGGAAATGATCAAAGTGATGGAGAAGGGGGCTCACCATGAACCCAGAAAGTTTATGGGTCCACCACCCTCCTCTTTGTCCATGGAGTTCCCTCCCTCGCACCTGAATGTCCCTGAGCAGCAGCTGGGTGGGGGTCTCCAGCGGCGCCTTGGAGGCTATCACTTCGCGCAGCGCCACCCCCCAGCGCTCTGCCTCAGCCTGGCGGGGCGAGCAGAGCCGGACGCTATGCTTCCGGCCAGACACGGTCACTGACCACAGACCTGGGGGAAAGAGAGGCCGCGGAGGTCAATCAGGGCTGGCTGGGGCAGCTACCTAGGGAGGTAGGAGAATCCCCATAAGGTCTCACCGGTCTCCTTGGGCCTGCGCTCAGGGCCGGTCACCGAGCACAGGCTGGTGAGCACGAGGCTCCCGAGGCGCCGCGCCCCCTTCCCGCTGCTGCTGAACTGGTCCAAGGAGTCCCGGGTGAGCACGAACCAGGCTCGGCGCGGGGGCAACCAGGGCCGCGCCCCTCCTCCGCGGGGCTCGCGGTACAGCCAACCTGCGGGGAGAAAGAGGGAAAGGGGATCGGCAGGAGAAGACATTATCCCGTGGAGGATTGGGACTGGGGCCTCTAGAGCGCATGAGGTGGATCCCCACCTTTCACGACGACGTCTGGGTCGTCTTCTGACGGCCCCTTCTCCGGGATGAGGCTCCGTGTCTCCTCCCAGCTTTGCAGCCTGGGCAAGAAGGGAGCGAGGGTTGGGCAAGCCTGCCGGTCCTGCACCCCGCCTCCAGGAGGCTCCTCTCTATGGGCTCCCCAGACAGCGAGGGGTGCCTACTCCCCGGGCTGGGCACCCCTCCCCCAGGCTGTGGGAACTGCTGGGCCGTTCTGACCTCGCACCAGAAATAGCCTGGACCCCCCCTTTCCTCCCCGCGCCCCCAGCCGGACCGCCCCCCGGGACCCCGGCCAAACCACAGCGTCCGGCGTAAGGCCTTTCCCTTATTGCACAACCGCGGGAGGGAAGCCGGTGAACATGGGGGTCCCAGACCATGGGACGCAGGGGCTGAGTTCACCTGTCTGAGACTGGACCGCTCCTCACAGGCTGAGTCAGCGTCACATCCAGGGGGCCCTGGGGAAACAGGCAGGGCAGCCCTCAGGCTAAGAACCCTCCTCGCAGGATGCCAGTAGCTTCTGGCCCAGGACAGTGCTGCTCAGAGGATTGGGGAATCAAGGAGTGGGATGGTGACTGTGACTGTGACTGTGACCGAGCGAGCTGAAGCCACTGGGCTAGCCCCTTCCACCAGTCTCTACAGAATAGCCCAAGCTAAAAAGCCAAGACTCTTGCCTGGTCGCTGTGATTCTTTAAAGAGGCAATCAGGTGTTGGGGTAGAGGAGAAAAAGCACTGGGCAGAGAGTCAGGAGGCCTGGGTTCTAATACCGGCTCAACCGCTAACTCGGATCTACAAACTTGCTGAGGAACCCTGGCAAGCCCCTTCGAGTCTTCGGGCCTTAGTTTCCCGATCTGTGAAGAGGGAGAGGTGGATGAAGTCCTTTCTTGCTCTGGCAGTCGAAGTCACCCCCTCCTCCTCATCTCCCTTCATTGGCTGGCGGGCGTTCAGGCTGGCAGGCAGGCAGTAGGCACGGAGGTGAATGAAGGGAAGAGGGACCCTTTCGGTATAGGGCTTTCTCCAAGAGCTTCTTATACCCTCCCACAGGGACCCCTGAAACTCAGTAGGAAGTAAAGACCCTGTCCTTTTGCTGGGGCTCAGGCCAGGCTGAAGAATACTCTCCATGGGAGGTACAGTCCAGGATTTTGCCCTCCCCCTACCACACTCCCTGTGCCCTGGAACTTCTACTGTAGACTGGGGTCTAAGAAAGGCCTAAAACCCTGCCAGGAGCCAAGTCAGGCGGGAACTGTGCCATGGTCCCATTGCATCCAGGCAGCTAAAGTCAGGAGGGGGAGGTGGGGGAAGGGGGCCAGGGACACCTGTCCCCAAGCTCCGAGGAGGGGGGCGGTGGTGGAGGTGGAGCATGAGGGAGGCAATGACAGTGGTTCACAAAGCCGACCCTGCTCAGGCTGGAACCTTGGGGACGCCTGGGTCCTGTGCCTTCGGGGGCGCAGATCCTCTTATCTTCTGGAGGGTCTGAGAGGGGCTCTCAGCCACACCACCATAAGGGCAGGTGCTGACCCCTCTCTTAGACCAACTCCCCTAATCGCAGTCCCCTGATTCCCTCCCTCCCCGCCCCCCCTCTATATTTATCCGCCCTCCGCCTCCGCCAGGTGCTGGCGCCGGCCCCAGCGGCGCAGCCCGCCCCACCCGGGCACTGAGCCACCGGGCCTGCTGGGGACCCCTGAGCGGGGGAAGGGAGCCTGACCCAGGCCACAGCACACGCGAGTCTGGTTGCCCGAAGTTTGCTTGCTGGCGTGCAGGGGCATCAGAGAGGGGACGTCAGGGGATGATGGTCTCCCACACCAATAGAGCCTCAGTTTCGCCACGGGGAGATTCGACAAAACCCGGGAGCCGAGTGTCCCTCACCATTCCCTCAGGGATTCCCCAGGAGCCTCACCAGGGAGGCCCTGAGTGTCAGGGTAATGATGAGGGGTCCTCGGAGAGTTGTGGCCCCCAGCTCCCTCTCCATGGGGTCCCCGCCACGGACCCCAGTCTGAGGATGCCTGCTTCCCCTTGCCCAGATCCCCGCGGCGGGAACTCCCGCATCTGGCCCCAGCGCTCAGTGCTCATGAATTGGAAGCGGAGCGGACCCAGGTGTCCGAGCCGCCCAGCCGGCCTCGCCACATTCCTCGGCGCTGGCGGAGGCGGAAGGAGACGGGATGGGACGCGGGCCCAGCGGGGAAGGGAGAGGCTGGGCCAGGTCGGGCCAGGCGTGACGCCTCCCCTGCCTCAGGGCCCCCAGCAGGTGGACAGCGCCCAGCGTGCTGCGCGAGGCCCACAGGCACATCCCGAGGCGGGCTGCTGCTTGAGCTCTCGGGGGCTTCTGGCCCCCAGGCAAAAACGTCTCCCGAGTCCCCAGTCCACAAGAGCACGGCGTTTGGCTCGAGTCTGGAGCAGGATCAGGCGTGACGGCCGGTTGTAGTGAGAGGGATTGAGACAAGGCTTCAAACCCCCCGGGACTTACCCTCCCGCCGCCCGCTGGACTCGGGGTCCGTAGCTCAAAGGTCTCCTCGTCCTCGTCTTCGTCCCCGTCCCCGCTAAGCTCGCCGTCCCCGTAGTCCCGGTGCAGAAGAGTAAAGCCTCGACGGCAGCAGAGGAGCCACCACAATCCCCCGGGGAGAGGCATCCGGGCGAGCAGCCGGGGGATTGGGGTGCGGGCAGCCGGGGCCGAGCTGCAGGGGGTCGGAGAAACTGGCGGGGCTCCGACCCGAGCGGGGGGAAAGATGAGGAGGGAGGAGGAAAAGGGAGAGGGGGACTGGGAGGAGGCAGTGTCTGGCTCTGGGGTGCAAGGGGTCGCTAGCTAGAGCCTGCGGGGGGCTCAGAGTCTGGGCCCCCGGAGGGGGAGGGGGGAAGCGGGGGTGGGGGAGGAGGGAGCAATGTCCGGAGCTGGGAAGTAGTGTCCGTTGTAGTGTCCAGCCCTGTGGGGGGCAGTGTCCGGTGCAGTGTCCGAGGTGGGCAGTTGTCCAAGCTCCAGGGAGGGTCGTGTCCGGTAGGGCGTCCGGTGGCCGGGGCCCGGGCCGAGCGCGCTGCGCTCCCTGCAGCCCCGGGACTGGCGCGCTAGGGGCGCGAGCACAGTGCCGGGACCCCGCCTCCCCAACCCCCTCCCCTTCGGCCCCCCCCCCCCTTCTTTCTCTCCTCCCTTCTTTACAGGGCTGTGTCCAGATTTCGTCACAGCCTCCTCTGCCCAATCCCTGTGCCTGGCGCCGGGCGCGGCCACCAATCAAGCTACTGAAACCGCGGCGGGTTGCATCATGTGTCCCTGGCTTGGTGACAGCGGGGAGGGGCAGGGGAATAAGGAGGGAGGGGGCAACGCGATGTTAGCCACGCCCCCGCTTCGGAGGTCGGACACGGACTGCTAGGGACGTCACGGAAGCCCGCCTTCAAGCTCTTGTTTTAACTCTTGGCTCACCAACCAACAAATTAAAAGCACTCGAGCAGGAGCTTTGGAGAACAAAGTGCCCACAGGGCATAGAGAAAGGCTCCGACTGCTGTCCTCTGCACCCCTGTCTCGTCTCAGGGTTCCAGAGAAAGGAAACAGCCTTAGCTACCTGCGCCAAGCACAGCCCTAGAGGTAGCCCTCCGCCCCTGGATGAGGGAGTCCAGTTCCGCGATCCCAGTCACCTCCTCTTGAGGTGAAGAAGCTGAGGAAGAGACTCTGAGAGAGTGCAGACCAAGGCCGGAAATAAAATCTAATGTAGAGCGCACAGCTCACTGAACTCCAGTTGGGAGAGTGACTTCGGATTCTAGGGAGTTCCGTGGTCTTCGAATGGAGTGGAGTCTCCTCAGGGTGACTATCCCGCGATTCTGTGTAGGAAGGGGTTAACCAAGGCTCTAAGCGGACGGGGCGGGGCCAGAGGAGGGGCGGGGCCAGGGCGACCGCGGGCGCGCGCGTGCGTTGCTGACTCAGCGGCGATTCCTGAGATCACTGGTGGAGGGTTCCAGGTTGGACCCCAGTGACTGGCGTGTGGGACCCTTTGAAGATCGGCTCTGTGTCCGGGACTTCCCTGGATCCTGGCCCCTGGAGGCCGTGGTTCTTGGTCTCAGCCGCCGGAGACTCCGAGAAGGAAGGCTAGCCGGAGCTGGGCGCGGCGGGACAGGGCGGGGACGACAGGCCAGCGCCTCCCTGGAGACATCCCCGCCACGCTCCGCCCCTCTTGCCCTGGGTCCCCAGACTCCAGGCTGGAGTGGTCGGGGCAGCTTGGCTGACCGGATATTAAACTGCGAGAGTTGTCGCACGTGGACACCATCCTGCCTGTCGTGACTGTGTAAAACAAAGACCAGGAATCAATGTCTTTAGAGGCCATCCCAGACTTGCCCTCGCCCCAGATGAGAGTGGCCTGCGCTGAGACTTCCTAGGGATGGAAACACCACACCATATACTCTCTTCCCTATCTGGATCCCAGGCCCTTGCCTGCAGGGAAGTTCTTTCCCTTGTCTAACCTCTCTCCGGCAGGCTCAGTACATTCCCTCTGAGCCCGTCCCCAAGGAAGACGGAGAATGGCTGTCACCCCACCCCCACCCCGCCCGTGCTAACCACTCTTTGGAAATTTGCAAATTGGAATTCTCTCCTTGGATTTTCTCCAAGGTGAAAAACTGCGACTCAACTTTTCAAATAACTTTTTCTCTCCACCAGCGAACCTTAGAAGGGACTGTAGAGTGGTAACTGAATCCAACCCAAAACGGGAATCTCCTGGCCCCGTTCCTACCCCCACACCAGGCATAGGCACACACACAGTCCCCGACAGCCTCAGCCGGAACATTCCAGAGGCCGGGAACTCGGTACTTGCTAAGGCAGCCATTACTGGATAGCACTCTGGTTGTTAGAAAGCTCTTTCTTACACTATTTCAGGAGGAACGCTCGCCCCTCGTCGCCTGGCAGCTTCCCCACCTCACCTCTGTTGGCAGAGACCGGGTGAAGGTGGAGGGGGTGTCAGTGCCTAAAGCTTTAGCAGGCTCAGCAGCCCCTCACCCCCACCCAGGCTCTCAGCGCCTTCCACTCAGAGCCAAGCGCGGCGGAGTGCGAAGGGGCGGGGCCGTGGGGGACCCACCAGCTCTGCCCTGCTGCAAATCACTTCCAAGCCGGTGAGTCAAAAATAGTAACAGTTGTTGTGTTGCCCCTCATTTCCATGTTGTCAGTTTAATGTGCCGAAGTACAGAAGCAATTCCTGATGTCCCTACCTCTTTCTCAGTGTCCCCCACCTACTCCCCCTTCCCGCTACCCTCCCTGGAATCATTTCCTCAGCCCGCCCCCCTCCTCTTGATTCGCAGCTCTAGTAGTCCCAGAAGGAGATACTGTTGGTCTCCGTGGGAGCCGAGCAGGAAGAAAGGCGGGGGCAGCGGCCGCTGTGGTGAGGCCCTGGACTACAGCCTCGACCCCGTAGCAGCCTCCGCAGGTCCTGGCGGAAGCGCAGGCCCAGAAAGGCGTAGAGCACGGGGTTGAGACCGCAGCGGGCGAGGGCCAAGCCCCCGGTCACCAGCAGTGCCAGATCCTTGCGCTTGCTGGCGGGGCAGCTCCGCTCGCGGGCCGCCAGGAGGTCGGCAGTATCCAATAGAAGGGCGAGACTGTAGGGCAGCTGCAGCACCACGAAGGCAGCCACCAGGGCCACCACGACGCGCAGCGCGCGCCGGCGCTCGGGCCCCCTGGTGGCCAGCAGCGTGCGGCCCAGGAGCGCGTAGCAGGCCGCCATGACGCCCAGCGGCAGCGCGAAGCCCAGGACCACCTGCGCCACGGCGCTCACCCCCTTCACCGTCTGCGTGAGGCCCTCGGGGAAAATGAGACGGCAGCGCCTCTGGCCTTCTCGCTGCCCGTCCTGGCTGAAAAGGAGAGCAGGCAGCGCCAGGAGCAGCGACAACAACCACACGATGACTGAGACCAAGTGTGCACGGCCCGGCACCGGGGGCCTCGGTCCAGCTGGGAGGGCCCGCGCGATGGCCACGTAGCGGTCGGCGCTGATACAGGCCAGGAAGAGGAAGCCGGCGTGGAAGGAGGCCGAATAGAGGCCTGAGATGGCGCGGCAGGTGACACTTCCCAGACTCCAGCCCTGCAGAGCCCCGGCTGCAGCAAAGGGCAGGGTCAGGGCCAGCAGAAGGTCGGCCAGGGCCAGCTGAAGCAGGTGGGCGGAGGTGGGCGAGCGGGCAGCGCGTCGCGCCGCCAGGTGCGTGGCCAGGACCAGGCCATTGCCAGCCAGACCCAGCGCAGCCACCGTCAGGGAGACACTGGGTTGGAAGGCCCGACTGAAGGCCTGGACATCGGCCTTGTAGCAGAGTTCTGGCAGCGGCTCAGCCGAGTATGCCTCCTCATCGTCCCCGGAGTAGGGGCCCCAGGAGACCTGGGGAGGCCAAAATGAGAAGAGAGACCTTATGAGGCATGCCTCCACCACACACCTCACCCTCCCACACATGCATTCCAAGCTGGGGGCTCCTGTGTGACCAGGTACAATGGTACAGTACCCGGGGAGAAGACATAAACTCTTCTCCACACTCTTCTTAGCACACCCTCAGACAGGCCTTGGCTTCCCTCGCACCCCTCCTGCCTCTACATCCAGCTTCCTCGGTGACCTTGAGTGAATCACTTGCTCTTTCTGGCTCTCCAGTTGCCTAATACATAATGTCAAGATTAGAAATCCTGACCAGCAACCCCCCCCCCGCCCCCCGGCAGGGTTGTTTGAAATAAGGAAGGTAATGAATGTGAAGCATCTGTGCTCTCCATAGGCCAAGTGTCTGTATTGTTAATAGATCTTAGCGCTTCAGTTCCTCTGCAGCGCCCTCTCCTGGAAGAACATCTACATGCAGACTTTGCCTGACACCTGGTCCCTGGACTCCATGCTTGGCCTGGAGAGGTTTTCTATGTCTCCTTTCCCTTCTCCCCTTCTCACCCCCACCTCTTAGCCTCCAGTACAGGTGCACTGAACTACTCATGACAAGGGGGTCGTAAGGGTTGGAGCTCAGGTTTTCTGGGCTCAGTTGGGACCTTAGATCTCTAGGTTCAGCTCATCCTCCCTCTGAACCCCAGTCCCGTCCCCGAACCCCAGCGTCTCATTACCAGCCCGATCTATCTGGAGGGCCCCTGGTCCCAGAGGGCTCCAGGCATCCTAGGTAGGTCACAGCATGGCAGAGGCCTGGTGCTAGGTAGAGAATCCCGTCCCTTCACCTAACCCTCCCTCTCTGTAACCATTACCCCCCTGCCCCCACTCCCACCTGCTTTGCGGGCTCAGTCCCCATCTCTGGCTACTCGGGTTTCTGAGGTAAAGCCACTGGGGACAGAAGTTAAACTAGTGGGACAGGAAGGAAGGGGCGGGGAGAAGGGCCAGGAGGGCGGTGGGGATTAGGGTCTGTGGGCCGTCTTTACCTAACTTTCCTATTCTACGTCCTAAAAAATAATTTCTCCTTACCGTGCCAGTAGAAAAAGAATGGGTTTTGTAATATCATCGTTGGCTAGCCACCTGTGTGATCTTAAGTAGGTTTTCTGACCTCTCTGAGCCTCAGGTTTTTCATCTGCAAAGTGGAGTGAGGTAAAAATGCAGAATTCACAGGGTGCTGAGGGTGCCTAGTACGGGTGCCTGGAGCATAATTTGCTGTCAGAAAATGTTAGATTCTTTTACTTACTCTTCTCCTCATCTCCAAGCACCCTCCCCTTCCAACTCCCTTTTCTTGGATTTTTCAGGACCCCCTAACCGGCCCTAGCCTCCCTTCCCCCATCCCTGCGGCCACAGTCCCTGTCGGCCTCGGGTTATTCAGGGTATTTCCCGGCGACGGGAGGCTCTCTACCCCGCCCGTTCGCAGTAGGGCTGAGGCGCGCGCTTGCGCGGGGTCCGGGAAAGCGGCGCGTGCCAGGAGAGAGAGGCTGGGGGAGGGGGGAGGTGAGAAGAGAGAGGGTGGAAGGAGAGGCGAGAACAGCGGAGGACCAGGAACAGCACAGAGAGATACAAGGGAGAAAGGTTGGGGGAGAGAGGAAAGAGGGAGGGGTGGGTAAGGGGTCGAGAGATAGCCATCCGCTGCGAACCCCAGGAGGAAAGCCCGAGCTGGAACTGGAGCCCTAGCCGGAGACGGGCACTGGGAGGCGGCCGCCGGGATC